CGACAGACTATTGCCCAGCCTTAAGCTCTTTGAAACAAGAGCCCTTTCCAACTCTCCTCCTTCATAAAGCTGAGTTGACAGTGGACACTGTTCTTCTGCCAGCAGTCCTCAGTGAGACTACTACTGACATTGGAGTGGGACTTATGGGGACTGCCTTATGGGGACTGCCCCTCTCACTACGGGATGCCAAGTGCACCTGTCCCTGCCTCCTGGATCACGTTTCCAGAGGCCCCAGATGATGATTTCTCCCCTAAGAATCATGGCACAGAGTCTGCTTGTCCAGGCCCCCACACATACCCCACTACGAATTCGGCCGACACTAACTTTATATTGTTTTGTGATCATGCCATCCAGTCTGTTGAAGGCTTCACCTTCTCCATTAGAGAAGAAAGCACCTAGACTCTGGAGGACCTCGAAGGCATTGAGTAGTGTTCCCCTACTGCATATCCACCAGCTGGCAAGCCACCCATTCAAAATTCATCATGCTGGTATTTCAAATGAAATCCCTCAATTGTGATCAGAAGTATTCCGGGCTATAGTCTTTACTTTGCATATTCCAGGGCCATTTTAATATCAACTATCTACATATTTTCAACTTAAAGATTGCTTGAGAATTCTCAATGTACTCTTGAACTTTTCGGTGTCCGTTATAACCACCATGACTTTGATTGCTTCTAGGCCACCTTTGATGCCACGTCTCTCCACTGCACTTGAGCAGAGCCAATGATCTAACAGCCACACCATCCAGGCCCCTACAGTGTTACATAAACGATGCCAGTGTTCTGCCACTGCCAAATGGGGTTTATTCCCTGTGCATAATGGAGTCTAGAGGGTCACTTTTCATGCCAAAGCAAAATCTATACTTTTGGATAAAAATGGAATGATGGTGATTTTTATTATTTTTATTGTTATAACCATTATTGTCACAACAGCAAACCACTGAGTCCTTGCAAGGCGCCAGGCACCCTAAGTGTTTGACATGCGTTACATTACTTGATGATTTAGAACAAAAATTAGTCAAAAACTTTCATCAAAGGTAAAACACACCTGAAGAGTCTGCTGGGAATGAACTGAGTGCCATGAACATGCCAACATGAATAGCACGTGTCCTGTGCCCTATAAGCTGAAGGGCAAGTGAACTTCTTCACCATGCAAACATGCGGGAACCCTGGTGCACGGCACCAGGCTGGTCAGCCGTGATGACGACATCTACACATGAAGCTCGTGATCTACTTAAGCAACTGATTAAGAGGTGGGCATAAAGAGCCTGGTTAGGGCATCCCTTAGACAGCAGTTATTGAATCAAAAGGTTAGTTACATGGTTCACAATGATACTGCAAATGATCTGTTTTTCTAAAAATTTACTGTCTCTAGTGTCATAGTAAAACTGTTTAGTAAAAAAAGGACAGAATCAAACCCTTCCTGCCTTTCCTGTTGGAAATTGGTTTCGTATCTACAGTACTAATGCATCTCACTGGCAATGAGACTACCTGACGAGTATGCCTTTTAATGTGTGCTGTTTTGGTTTTGGGTTTTAAGGTACAGATGCTGACATTTTTTCAAGAAAAATGCACTAAGTTATAAACTTAAGAGAAAAATGACCTCTAACAAGACTAACTGCCTTCCGTGTGGTGTCCCCGCCACATTTCTAAGACAGCACGGGATTCCACGGCGCCCTTTTCCCACTGGAACTCTACATTGATCATTGGGATATGAATGTGTTTTTATTATGAGATGAATGTGATTGATTAAATGACCTTGATTAGGTATCTTACCTTGGTCTTAAAATTTGTTATCTGTTTTCTTCATTGTATGTATTTATTAATACCAGTAAAAACAGATTATCACACATCTTCCATAAAATGATTGTGAAAGAAATGTCATTTAGTGTATACGATGAGATACCACTTGCAGCAGACATCTTGGAATATTACAGCATGTTAAGTGCAGTACATTGCAGCTGAGTTCAAATCCAACTTGACTGATGTGGGCTCCCATAATAGCTGTTACCAGTGAAGGCGAAAAAAATAAGAATTTGCTCTACTAAGGGAATAAGAAATGAAGTTACAAAACACTTAAATCACATTAATCCTTCCCAGGCCTTTGTCATGCAAGTGTGGAATTTTTCTTTAGTCTCTTCATAAACGTGAAGTAGAACAATGTCATCATTATTCCAATACAAACTTCATCTATCCCATATACCTTTTTTAAGAAGGGAAGCCACAATATGGCCTTAAATGTCTTGTAATAATACCAACACTTAAGAAAATCCCTTATTTTAGTCAAATAAGACGAAAATAAGAAAATATATACCTACAGCAGGTGATTTCAAATTTGGAATCATGCAGTATCCCTTGTTCTGTTTAAACAACTAGCTCTTGATCCATGTGTTCATGAGTCTAAATAAGGAGCAGCCTGACCCTGACAAACAGGAACCTCGCAGTTGGCTCACTGGCCTCAGAAGTGTGCCCAGCTGCTTACAGGGGCTCCTAACACCACTATATTTTGCCCTCACACTAAAAGGCATTTGGCACTGTAAAGCATCTTAAATATTTACCACAGACATTAACAGACAAGTCTTTCTGTTCATCATTTTAATCTAACATTGTAATTCTGCAAAGGCAAACTTGAATGAAAAGTTTGTATTAAGCCACACACAGGTAGCACAATAGCAAAGACCCAGCAATTTAGATGACTCTATTATATGTTACAGAAATCCTATGGGATCTATGTATCACCTTCATAATGTAGAAGAGATTCGTCTAGTATTTCATAATCATCAATCTCTCAAAATCTAACAAATTAGAAATCAGTTAAATCTGCTGATTTATGTTTCATCCAAATCTTCCTATGTTCAGAAAAGAGTCTAGCCCAGAGCATCAAATTAATCCTTGCTAAACTTATTTTCAGTTCCACCATTGCCACTTTAACCCTACGCTTTAGGCAAAGTCTTTAACACACACAACTTATCATCAGGAACAATAGTCAAGATTTTGGCAGCCTCCATTTTTCCTTCTTCTTGCGATTGTATCTGACAACTCAGAAACCCCACTACCATCGAGTCCACTGCAACTCATAGCGACCCTGTAGAGGGTTTCGGAAGCTGTATATCTTTACAGGAGAAGACCGCTTTATTTTTCTCCCACAAAGTGGCTGGTGTGTTTGAACCACTGACCTTGCAGTTAGCAGTCAGTTCTTACCCTACAGAACCACCAGTCAGTGTAAGTAAAAACTCAGCCACTGAATACCGGACTAAAACAGGATACAAGAAACACTCATTTTTATTTTGATTTTTATAAAACAAAAAAGCCAACTTAGGTGGAAGTATCTACAGGACTAAACTTTTGTGTATTTTTTTTTCATATTCTTCTTTGGAATAGTAAACCATCTCTCATTTAATTCTCTACATTATTAACCTAAACCTGGACAAGAAAACAGGAAAAAGAAAATGATCATTTTTATATAACCCATGTTTCAATGAACTCCTACAAAATCAGTGAAGGATTTTTATTGCATTTTCTTGAACATGTCCAAACATAAGCAACATTTCAAGCGATCCACATGTGCCAAACAATAAGAAAGTCCTTGTCTCAGATAGATAAGAGACTTCTCCCCATTACTGAGTTGGTCTGAGTCACTGAAGACAACCCCACTCAAAGGAGCAGTCTTCATCACCATCACCATCAGCACCAGAGGTTCAGAGCAGTATGCCACAGTACCCACATCATTAAGCCCGAGAGCTGGAAGACACCTCGGTGCTAGGAAGGCCCACCCCCTTGACTAACAGGAAGAACCAACTGTGGCCAAGACAGAGAGTGACCAGAGACCAAGTCAGGACTGCCATCTTCTGAGACGACAGTGAAGGGCCTGTCCACTCCCTGTCTCACTATTCTGTCCCCCAAGACGTCCAAGGTAGGATCTCCTCAAAAATAGTATGCAGTTATCCAAACAGGAAAACAGAATCACAGAAAACAAAATAAAGAGACATGAACTTAGCAAGCTCCAGGAATCAAAAACAACCTCTGCAAAAAGTTAAGTGTCCAACCTGCATTTTGAGACCATCTTTTCGGTTTTGTTTTTAGCAATGACAGAGGCTTGAGGTTTGGCCATGAAGTCTAGATGGCATGTTACAATGATGGCAGGTAACAGCCTCAAAGAGTTATTATTTTGTTATCATATATTTTCCAAGTCCAGAAAATAGGAGTCTTGTTACAACTGTCATTTTGATTTGTCTATACCAGACATGGGGAACACTTGGCCCACCTCGAAATCATTTGGTCTGGCCCTGCCAGTTCCAGTCATCACAGTAGGAGTGAGTTCATTAAATGTCTGACCAAATATAGCAGACTCATTTTGAAGTTGGTAATTTTGTATGACCTGTGACTTATGTTAAAAATTTGGGCAGAAAAAAGGTTCCTCATCCCTGGTCTAGAAACTTAAATACCTAAGAGTATGCAAAAATGTCAAAGAATCAAACATAGGGGCCCAACGGTATAGAGTGCATGAGGATGAAGGGACCGTCTACATCCTCCCTGAGCTTCGGCCAGAAAACAACAAGAATCGGGGTGGGCTGGGAACAGACACGTCACCTACCCACTAGGAGCACACAGTGACCCGTGTCAGCTCAACTGACACTGTGGTGTTATATTAAGACCAAAGTAGGCTTACTTTCATTTAAAAACTTACAGTGTGATTACCACATAAACCACAACATTCTAAAGACAGATTTCAAAAACAATGCAACTGCATCAATACTGAGGTATGCACATACATTTACACATAGACTCTATGCGTGTAGGTGTGGGGGAGTATACCTCTATTTGAAGTGCTGAAATGGGATGAGATTTCAGATTTCAGATCACTCCCCTACGTCTGTGGAGACCACACCATATGCTTTCACCATAAGCTTCTGATGTCTGCCCTTTATTCACACTGTAACATGACTGGCTGCACGGCCTTCCCTTAAATACCATGGGCATCATTATTATTCTTTATTTTACCTCATTCTCAGTTAAGGATGTGGAAGGAGATGAACTTTTGCTAAACCCCAGAGCTGAAGGCGCTGCTGTGGAAGCCCGGTTTCGCTTCTTCAGTGGTTTGCATGCGTCAGACAGATTTCTCGTTGCTGTAAGATAATTGTTCTTTATAAAGTACCATTTGAAATCTTCACCCTGCAATCTCGTCACTGCTTTACGAATTACCCCTCTAATGAATGGAGTTCTAAAGCTGTATCTTCCAGCTGTTTTGTCACATTGTATCACGGACGCAGCTGAGTGCAAGCCAAAGCAGACACTGCAGTATGGACCCGCGCCACTGCTGCCCTCGTCCCTCTGCCAGTTTACTTTGAAGCAAAACCCGAGATTTGTCATTTCCTCACCAACAGTGAGTCCCTATTTCAAAAACATGACCACAGCTCCATTACTTAAAATTTAATGCCAGATATCCAGTCAGAATTTGAATTCCTGAATGCTTGGGAGCATTTTTTAAGCCCAATTAACTGGTTTTAAAATACAGGACAACACCTCATTTAAAAAAAAAAAAAAAAAAAGGAAACCAGCTATTCTCCATCTTCACTTACTCTTTTCTTGCCTCAATTCTTTCTGCTCTAGTTTCAAGGTGGAGATGGCAAGCTTTCTCTAGTAAATTACCCACTGGGTACATTAAAAAGAGAGGTCAAGGAAAAGTAAACGAAGACTGGTTCCCTCTTTTGACAATTCTTTCCCCCCAAAAAAACATTTTAAGCTCATTTCTTCAACATGTGGCATAAACCTAATTAGTCACTGACTTTATGTTTTATTAAGGGTACATGGAGGACTCAGGATACTGAAGTGTGGCAGCATTTACAACATCACACAGGGAAACTGAAAATATGTTTTACATCATTTCTTTAGAAAAATTTTCTATTGAAATCATAATATATAAAACATAGACCTCTATAGAAAGTAACTTCAATCAAATTTAGCTGAATCCTTAGAACTTATCCATTCCAAGGGTTTCATTTTTCGATTCCATCCAGCTGATTCCTCCTTATCACTTTAGGTTTTGGTGGAACAGCTAGATCCCCTGGATCCTTCCCCAACCCTTGCTTCCCACCCTCCTCACCACCCCCCACCTTTCCCACTCTCCACACCTCGTTTGTTTCTACTCTGTAACCCACAGTCTAGACTGGAAACTCCCTGAGGATGGAACAGGGTCTATCCCGTTCACCACCACCCCCACCCCCACCCCCACCCCGCCCCGTGTCTGCTCCCAGCACCACTCAGGTCCCCAGTGAGAGCAGATGCCTAAAGGAAGAGGGGGGTGGAAGTGGGGGTGTCGCTGACATTACCTGCCTGGCTCTTTAGTGAGGAGGTTGTTGCCTCTGTGACTTTAGAGGAGTTTGTTCTGGTGGTTTTGTCAGTGAACGTCTCTCTCTGTTATTAAAAAAAAGAAGAAAGAAAGAAAAAGAAGAGCAAAGGAAAGAAATGGAGGGGAGAAGGTCCTAAGGTGAACACACACAGATGGAAGTGATTGCTGAGAAGGTGCATGTACAGAACCATCTTCCTGAGGTCCCCCCACTGTCTGTAACTCCAGGAGAGAGCACCCTCCCTCCCCCCATAACATCTGTCAGGAGAGCCGGGGTGGCTGGGACTGGGCCAGATTACGCCCCTCACAAGATCTTATTCAACTTCCCCCCACACTTAGAGTGGAGCATCATTAGAAGCAGCCTCTCCTGGTGAGAGGCTACCCCAACACATCAAAGCAGAGGCCTGAGGAGTCAATGCCAAGGTCACGGTTTCCTTCGCTATAGTGAGGAGCCTCGCCAAGAAAGACCATCAACAGAACCCACTTACAACCGGAAAAGGCAGCAAAAACAGGACAGGATCATGAGCATTTTGTCCGGTCCTCAGGCAGCACTGCCTAGTGGTCAGAAGGCCAGTTGGGAAGGCAGACCCCCTGGCAAGCAAACTCCAGCTCTCCTTCAGACCATCAGACCATCAGACCATCAATAGGGACAGGGGCAGGATTTGTCTACAGTAATCCCAAGGGCCATTGGTAGGTTATAAATGCTCAGGATGCCTGGTGCATCCTAAGTGCTCAATGTGCACTAGGTTCTCACCGCAGGCAACAAAAGCATGTTACTCAGCTCTTGATAGTGCTGTGCGCTGAGCTGTTAGCTAACCGTCACCTAGCTATCTACCAAGGATTACCATAGCTCCAGTGACCAGGGCCACACTTCTTCTTAGATAACTAATTTGTACAAGCATTTCTAGCTAATTTGTACAAGTATTTCAGAGGCATCAGTTCAGAGTGATAGCAGTAAAGGGCTGCTCTCACAGGAGGCACACCAGAGGTGGTAAGTATGTGCTTGCTGCTAACTGCAAACTTCAGTGCCTCAGGTTGAATTGGCACTATCCCAGTACTGGACCCTTGACCATTAACAACCCATCTTACTACAGAGGCCCTGGAAGGATCTGTTGGCCAGGAAAAGGGGCCCACCTACTCCTCTGAACTGCAGATACAGCTTTAAAGAAATAGGATGGATGATGTGGGGTCACATATTTGTACTTTAGCAATCTGTAAGACTTGTTTCTTCAAAATAAAACTGAACAATACAAAACAAACTTCTTAATTTAGATCAGCAGAAAAGACAATAAGAAGCTTTAAGCAAAATCATAAATAGACATCGACTCTGTGGAGCTATCAGAAAACAAATGTACACACAAATGTGCAGCGTGGAGTCTATCCAAAGTCTCAGTTGGTAAACAGGTCACCTTCTGCACTGCACCCTGGGGCACCCTCACAGGGCTCATGGTGTAGAAGAAGCCCAGGGCTTCCCTAAGCTACAGAGGTCTTGCTCAGTCCAGCTCCCTGCTTCCCGCCCATACCAAGCAAATGCTGTCCCTTGATGCACACTGGGAATATGCACAAACTCCAAGGCCCTACCTGAGGCTATCTTTATATTGAGGGTCTTCAAATTGATGCTGCTTTCTTTGACATCATACAGGCCTACACAGCCTGTATGTGGGAACTAAGTACACAATAACATGAATTCTCATAAATTCTTATCTCCAATGCCTCTAGTGGGTCCTTTTCGTTTTTACTAAAGTACCAGGGGTTTTCAAAAATTTCATTGACAAATGGGATTACAAGACAATAGAGTTTCCCCCAGTTTTCTAAAGCCTCTCATGTATATGTAACATACCTTAGTGGATTTCTGCATTTCCATGCCAGTTCATCATTTACACAACAACTAATTAATAAGCTCTGCAGACAAAGGCTGTTTTTACCATACAATGTTTTCCGATCTAAAAGATCAAGGCCTACTCAAAGTGTTTGGTTGTTCATTCTCTTTGAGAAAAAAACATTCATCATTTCTGTGTTAGCATCCCTGGTGTCCAAGTGGCCTCTCTCTGCAGGTTTCCTGAGACAAGTCCTAGTACATCTCACCTGGGAGAGCCCAGTAACCCATGTGGCCCCCCCAGGCAGCCACCTGGCACGTGTGCCGACAGAGTGGGTGCGCCCGGACCATAATTACCTTGCGAAGACTCTGCTTGTCTGTCCTGAGTCTCTTCCTGGGTGCTTCCTCAACTTCAAAGTCTCCGATCGGCTCCTGTGTCCGCTTGGTGTGGTTTCTTTTTTTTCCATTTAGGTTACCTTGGGATGGGGAAACTTCCATGAAACACACTCTGTAAACCACCCGGCAAAGCACGAAGAACCACCCAGGGTGCTCAATCCACGACTCGTGCAAGCCCATTCACTTCCAGAGACTACGTAGGACAAACTAAACCTCTTTACACAAAATGCAAAAGAGCTCTTTTCTGCAACATCAAATAATACAAAAGACTGGGGATCTGTCATAATGACAGGCCCCCTGGTGGTACAGTGGGTGAAAGCACTCAACTGCTAACTCAAAGGTCAATGGTTCTAGCCCATCCTTGGGAGAAAGATGAAGCAGTCTCCTTCTGAAAAGGAAAAAAAACCTGAGTCTCAGAAACCCTATGGGGCAGTTCTACTCTGTGCTACGTGGTTGCGACGAGTCAGAATTGACTCAGCGGCAATGGTTTGGTTTGGGTTTGGTCATAGTGATATTAAAATGTATAACACCACTGAATTGAAATATAACCCCATATTTTAAAAAATCTTTTTCTAAAATTCAAAGGCTAGTGGAACTGAAGTTGAACTTCAAAAAATTGTATGCAACCATCTACTATTTACACATCTCCGTAAAGAGACATATTATTTTGTATCTGCAAATCCAGGACTTTCTATGACTTGTCTGACTATGCCGTGCACTACTGTTCCCAAGAACACCAACAACTGTAAGACTTAAGGTGTCTGCAAAGTACTAAGCTAGAAAATCAGGCAGGAGAACGCAAACCCTAGAGTGATGGCAAATTTGAACAAGCCAGGAGGTATTTTATATACAGAGCGCTTTTTCTCACTGGTGTGACGGCTTCCTAGGAACCCAGGTTGTTACTGGTGGCCTGTTCACCAGACGTCTCAGAGCCATCCTCATGGACCTGCTTATGGCAAGACAGGCGCCAGTGCAGGAGTGTCTGGCAGAGCCTCAGGAGGGCCAGGCGGGCATTAACTGGTCCTCCTGCCTGGTGGCACTATGCATGCAGGATGTGCCTTCAATCTTGTCTAGTTCTGGAGAGAGAAGAATCAAGCAGCCAAAGGTCTGACCCACACCTGGTAGTGGCTCCTCCCAGACTGCTGTGAGCCCAGCTCCTACAGAGAGCATCCTTCAGTAGTGCTGCTCTCAGCCACCTCCCTGAGGGCTGACTGCAAGGACACCACTGACAAGACGCCTGCATAGCTATCACACGGCACAGACATCCAACTTGCCAGATGCTCCTCAGGCCCTGGTGCCCCAACCTAGCACTGCATCACTAAGCTAGACACCGATCAGCAGCACCAAGCACCCAGTCTTGGCCTGTGTTCACAAGTCCTTCCCACTCTTCACCTCCCATAAGGCAGCAGGGTTTTTTTCGTGGCCATTTTACTTACTAACACTGACTTGGCAAGGATGTGGATACCAGGATAGCAGTCAACACTGAAGTCACCTGAAAGTGAGGGTTAAAGGGCTTCCAGGCCTAAGCCCACAGCCTGACACACACCGTGGACAGAAAGAGAGGCACTGCCACTCACATCTCCTAACCAGGTCCTCAAGGCAGTCCAGGACAAAATGGGGGCACACAAAACCAAACTCTCAAGGGTCAGTGGAATCTGGCTTCAGGAAGAGCCGACTGACTCACTTTTCTACATTGAGTGCATTGATGGAGGCGCAGATGGACATCTGCCCGGTAAAGGAAACCCACAGGTACCTCCCTATTCTAAGTCACAGTATTTGCAACAAACGCTGAGCAAACTGGACAAAGGTCATCATTCATATAGTTAAGACTTGGATATGGAGACCCTATCAAGTCCTGAAGTCGAGATGGAAATGTCTGTGAAAAAACCCAAAAGGTTAAAGCGTGCATGAGCAGTGCCCATGAAAGGCAAGCAAAGCTGGTCTAGGAACCTGCGCTAGCTACACAGGGAGGTAGCTCCCAGGGACAGCCGGATCTCAGGCTTCTGCTAAGGCAACACTCACTGTAGGTGTGGCCTCTCTCACAGACGTTGCTGGACTTTCAATTCATACCCACATATGACACACTCATTGATGCTAAAAACATCCATCTGCCAAAACAAGCGGGCACAAATCCACAGAGGTCCCCTATCTGCCAGTTGTTAGACATTTTCTCCAATCTCACAATAACATCAGATTCAAGGCTGTCCAGATTCAAGGTCAGTCCACAGTCACCCCCAACTCCAAGACCTCTCAGTCAAAGGGTCAGAAGACACACCCCACCCAGACTCAACACCCTGTGTCCATGGAGATGCATTCCTGGAGAGGCTACCACCCAGTCTTAGCAAAATGCACACTGTGCTGTGGGGAGCAGAACACAGGCCTGATGTCTGACCCAACCAGGCCACATGAGATGAGTCTGGGGTCCTAGTCACTACCTTGGTTCACTTCCTTTTTCTGTTGTCCCTCACACAAGCCCCTGGGCCCCAACAGCAAGTGTGCCTGCTCCACACAGGCTGACAGAGGCTCCACAGGGCGACACTCGGGGGACAATGCAACCAGCAGAGGTTGCTTTATTAGCACCACACCCACTCTGGTTGCTGGCACCGGCACCACAGGTCAGCGTTGGTGAGATGGCCACTGGTGCCTGACTGCGGCACTCAGTCTGCTAACAGTACCCAAGCACACCTTAGGAGAAGGCACTAGAACAGCGTTGCCATTACCAGAGTCTTCTTCAGATGGGGGACAGGTCACCAGGGCAAACTTGGTATTATAGCGTGCTTTCTGTTTTTCATTGAGCATGTCCCACTGTGAGCCAAGGAGCTCTTCGATCTCCTCGCTGGACGCATCTGGATGCTCAGAGACAACCTGCAGACACACATGAGAGTATGGTCAGAAGCAGAACACGGCAAACTGGGTCTGGGTTCTCCTCAGCATTTAATCCAATGCATGGCTCTCTTGCTCTTAACACCTCTAGTTCCCCAATCACCACGGAGCTAGCTCTCTCGTACAGGTTGAAACAATGTTGAAAGTGGGAGACCACCATCCAGCTGTGTGGATGTAAACACAGGCAACCATCAATGGCCAGGCAGAGAGACAATCCATTCCACCATCACGACATCATCGCAGCCACCCTTGAAAAGCAAGGCGTGACCAGGGACACCCCCTGAGCACTCTACCCTGACCTTTCAGGTCTTCAATCTAGATGGAGACAAAGGTAGGATAACAAGGAGCACTTCCCACCTGGTCAGAGCCCAGGCCAGCTCAGAGACAACGGAGAGATCCTGGCAGTGCAGCAACAGGCCAGGGTGCCATCATCAGCACCCTGGGAACCGGCTCCACCACAGCCCAACGGTCTGACCAGTGCTTCTCTTCCATGGCTGCAGAGCAGCTAGAACGACTGGGGTTTCAAAAATAGAGTGCTTAGGTCTCACCCCAACCACTCACATCAAATGGGTCCCGAACCCGTGTTTGAGAAGTTTTCCAGTTGGTTCTAAGTGCACCCACCACCATTTGGGGATGAGGGAGGCAACAGGGGCCAGCAGCCACATCCAGCAATACCAGCCCACCCCTGTTCCTGCATGGCCCCAAAGCTCAAGAGACTGACTGGCTTCTACATTTTCAAACGGTTAAAAGAACCCAAAAGTAGAATAATTATCTCATGACTGGTAAAAATTACATGTATAGGAAATTCAAACATCAGTGTTCAGGAATGAGACTTCACAGGAAGGCCACCATGAATTCACTCGTCTGTGTCTTGCTGATGGTGGCTTGAGTGCTAGCTACCGCAAGCAGAGTTGGTAGCTGTGACAGAGACCACATTACCCACAGAGTCCAAGTACTATCCCTGGTCCCTTCAGAATATGTCTTCCAACTGAGGGCACCCATCAACATACTCTGGAACCAGACCGAGCGTTTGAGTCCAGCCTTCTCCACTGACAAGCTTTGTGAACAGGGTCTCTTCGCTGCTCTGTGAAATTCATCTGGTGGTCACAAGGATTCACGGAGAGAACATGGCTTGGTTAGGCCTTGACATAAACCTACTCCCAACAAGGACAGCATGGAACCACTTTTTGCAGCCGCCCTCTGCCTGGAACGCAGGCACCATGCCCAATGCCCTCAGAAGCCCCCAGCTTTTCTGCCAATGTGCCTCAGGCAGCAAGGACCCCTTTGCAAGCCTCAGTCTGGCTCCCCATGGCACTAGATGTTCTCCCCAGTGTCCCTACACCAGAGGCACTGTTCCCACCCCATACATACCTGCTCCCTCTGGGCCGAGGGGGAAGCTGTCACTGCCAGCCCTCCCCAATCCTACTGTAGAGATTTCCATCACAGACTTCCATCCCAAGAAGGACTCTGTGCACTTGCCTCTTGGAAGCTGCTCACTAGTGGACTGACCACTGTCCTTGCTACCTGCCTCTGTCCCAGTGCCTGCCAGCTTGGGACACATCGGAGTAGCAGCACAACTGCTTCTTTCAGCCAATCCTGAGTCCTTGCAGTCACCATCTCCTGGCACCTAACCCCCTATGGAAATGCTCAGCCTCCCCCTCAACATTCTGCTCTCTGGTCTTCCAAGCCCAGCTCCAACCACTGATTTCTGATCTACCCACTCCCAACACCCACCCTAAATCTTGCTCCTTCGACTTGAGAGGTCAAGCCCTACTGCCCCTTGGGCAGAATTCAACTGCAAAGTAATAGCTCTGAAGTCTTGAATTACCCAGCATGGATTCCCTCTCGAATTTTTCCCTCCCCTCACAACTCTTCACCCAAACTGGGATAGCTTGTTCTCGCAGTAGGTTCTGCCAATGGTTTCTCCTTCACCAGGTCTCAACTGAGGAGCTACTTTCATTTCTTCATCTGCCCAACAAGGAGTTAGGGGCCACTCTGTGCCAGACTGCTGTTTACGAACCAGGATGGTGAGATTTCATCTCTCAGACTTCGGACATGATATCAGGAGGGACCACTCCCTGCTTGGTAAAGTAGAGGGAGGGTCAGCGTAAAAGAGTGGGAAGGATGCCATGTGCGTTAACCTAACATAACCGTGCCACTCATGTGCTTGCTGAGTCAGAACCCACTCGACGGCACTAAACCACAGCAACAACTGTGCTAAATAAAAGGAACCCTGGTGACACACAGTGGGCTAAGTACAAGGTTGGTGGTTCACGCCCACCAGCTGCTCAGCAGGAGAAAGCTGAGGCAGTCTGCTTCTATCAACACTGAGAGCCTAGGAACCCCGATGGAGCCCCGTTCTACTCTGATGGCAGTGGGCTGGATGGGTTGTTCTGGGAACTGAAACTCAAAATCTATCAGCTCCAGAACAGAAGCCCCCACACGGTGAGCACATTCGGGTGGAGTATAGAAATATTCACACATAAGACCTCCACTCTGATGTTTACATTGTGGTCAGTTCAAAGTCAACAACAGTTGTGCAGATGGGCTCTAGGGAGAAATGCAGTGGACTGCGTGTTTCCACGAGGGCCTTGGGACAGCAGCGCCTACCACCCACATGCACACGCACCCATGCACACACTGGGTCCTGGTATCCCATGTAGGTGCCAGCCTTCAGGGCATGAGTCCAGGGGCTGGCAGTCTCTGGAATGACCAGTTTCTGTTTATTCTTGGTTCATGACTTAAAACTAGAGGGGACAACTGAGGTCAATGTGGGTCCCAAGAAGCAAAAAAGGTGATCTTTGGACAGTGGTCTGAGTTTTCAGGAACTCACTTTTCCACACCAGAATGCGGAAAGGAGAAGCTGCCCACTATGTGGCTGGTGCTACTTCAAGAGTCTGAGGGTGTAGCAACTACCCAACATTGGGGTACACCTGGATGAAGGTGGCACATGACACAGAAGACCGAGAGACCTAGTGCCCAGGAAATAACTGCACTGCTGAGTGCTTTGGTCCTGGTTTTAGGCCCAGCAATGACCAAGAGCCAGCACTCCCGGGGGGGGATAGGGGGGTCTCCAAGTGACCCCCTAAATAAATAATGGTTCTGTTGCACATTTCAAACTTTCATCTAGCTGATATGCTATCCATAGCCTCCAGCTACTTGCTTCACTCTCCGAGTTGGCTGTACCGCGTCACAGTTTACACTGTGGAACACCGTGGCACGCGTTCATCTCTATGGGAGGAGTTCCTCCAGGCAGACACCTAGGAAGCGCATACTCCACTGGGCCCAGCTCTTGCTGGCTGGGCAGCTTGAGAGCATGGCCCCTCCACTCAGACCCTGGTGTCACTCAAGTTTTCATGGTGTGTGACTGTTTGATCTAAGAAGTCCTGTAATGGTCCGTGGGCCCAGTGTCGTCTCTGGTCCTGCAGGTCTCTGCTCAGCTCACCCTGCACAAATGGCACTGTTCCAAAAAAACACAACTTCACATCTAGTCAGGTAAACCCTGATGTCGTGCCATCCATGCTAGTTGGCAATTTTAGCAACCTAAGTTTATCAAGTCCAAAGAAACTCCTGCTTGGGATTTTTACTGGAATTATCCAGACATTATAGATGAAGGTAAGAGGAATTGACAGAACACTGGGTCTGGCTGGTGTAGCACTGTGGCAGATGGCACTGGACCATAAGGTCAGTTTGAATCACAAGGTCGGTGATTCCAACTCACCAGCTGCTTCTAGACTTGACAGCACTTAACTTTATTGACCCAAAAGGAGTGCTGGTGTGGCACTGTAGGATAAGCTCTGGACTACTAACCACAAGGTTGGTGGTTCAAACCCACCAGCTGCTCCTTGGAAGTCCTATACAGGGTTGCTATGAATTGGAACTGACTTGACGACATTTAACAACAATTTAATCCTAAACCCAATCCACTGTCATCAAGTTGATTCTGATTTATAGCAACCTTCCAGGACAGAGCAGAACTGCCTCCCAAGGTCTCTGAGAGTACCGGACGGAGCCTAAGCAGTATTCACAGGAGCAGACTGTCTTTCCCGCATGGAGCTGCTGGAGGGTTCAAAGGGCTTAACCTGCAGCTAGCAGCCCAACACATAACCTCACTGCAACATGGGCTCCTAATGATTTGTTGTCGTTGTTGTTAAGTGCTACTAAAATATCAGAATTACCTTTCTCCAAAATTACACACAGATTTTGTTATAATCACTCCTTGTACCTTAACTTTCTGTTGCTATTACACAGTATCTTTTTAACCATTACAACTCCTCTCTGATGCTACTCCTGTATATCATCATAACAGACACCAACCTTGGTGAGCTCATTAATTCTGAAGGTTTTCTGTTAAGCTTGGGTTTTCTACATAGACAACCACTGTATAAATAATATACAGTTTTATTTCTTAATAATGAATGCTTTTTAAAAAAAAATAATAATAATATTGAATGCTTTTTTATTCTTTTCTCTCTTTCTAAAAATCTCACTGCAGCGGTCACTATTCGTGGTGACAAAAGGTATCCTGTTAGCTGCGAGTTTAGAGAGAATACTTCGAAAGACTCCCGGAGCAATAAGGAGGCACCGTTCTGTTCCTGATTTGCCAACTTTTTCTTGAAAAATAACAATTTTATCAACTGCTTTTTCTCCATTTAATCTGCTACTGTATGAGCCATGATCACAGACTGGCTAACATTCAACTACTGCCACATTCTGAGGAAAGACTGAGCAAAAACACGCCATCATCACAGGGAATTCCCACAGCACCACAACCACCACGCAGTCCCACTTCTGTCGGCATTCCTCCTGGCCCCTCTGGGCTGGGCTGTCAGCCACACATTCAAGGTGCTGGTGCAACAGGCGAGGACAAATTTGGAAAACAGACGCTTGCTTTTAGTGGTACTTTTAAGCACCATATGGACTGGAATTCCTGAATAGAAAACTCCCAAGACTACAGAAGCACTTAAGGAGCCCTGGTGGCATACAAGGTTACAGGTTGGGCTGTTAACTGCAAGGTCAGCTACTCTATGGGAGGAAGAGGAGGCTTCTTAGAGACTCACAGCTTTGGACATACTAGAAAGGGCCACCGCTGTGAGCCAGGGGGTTTATTTTTGTTGTTTACAGACCATTTACTTCAAGTACTAGTTAAATACCAAAACAATGGGGGTCTTGTCCCCTCAATTCAGCACAATGGAACCTTTACTATGTACATTCAATTGGGCATTTTATGAAAACTACTAAGAAAATAACTTGAAGTTTTTAGTACTATCCTTTGAAATTTTATGGTAATAAACCCTGAAATACTTAATGCTAGTAGATCTTGGTGGTGCTATCAGTGGGCTCTGACTCACAGGACCCTACATACAACAGAACAAAACCCCACCGGGTCCTGCACCATACTCACAATTGTTGTTGTGTGTGAGCTCACTGTTGGAGCAGTGCCAATAAATAAACATTCGATTATCTTAAATGAGTGTTATACATTGAATTACATCCTCCAAAAATATGTGCTGTAAATCTTAACCCCTACAGCTCTGACTAGAATCCTTTTTGACAACAGGTTTTATTTGCTGTACTAGTAAGCAGTAGTAGGGAAAGCTGTACCTGAAGTCAATCTCATTAGAGACATGAAAGAGCAGACCTAGCCAGCATTCAAGCACAGATGGGGGAAATAGGTGCCAAACCACATGAGATCTCCAAGGAACCAAAAACAGAAGCTGTAAAAAGACAAGGCCAGAGCCGACAGAGAGAAAGCCTTCCCTAGCAGCTGCTGTTGTTGTTGTTGGGTGCCATCCAGTCAGTTCCGAGTCATCGCAAACCTATGCACAATAAAATGAAACACTACCCAGTCCTGTAACATCCTCACAATCACTGTTACATTTGAGCCCACTGCTGCTGAAACTGTCCCAATCCCGCTCATTGGGGTCTTCCTCTTTTTCTCCAACCTCCACTTTACCAAGTATGATGTCCTTCTCCAAAGACTGGTCTCTCCTGATAATATGTCAGAAGTATGAGAGACGAAGTCTCATCATCCTTCTATGGAGAATTCTGGTTATACTTCTTCCAACATAGATTTGTTTGTTCTTCTGGCAGTCCATGGTACTTTTAATATTCTTCTCCAACATCAACTCAAATGTATCAATTCTACTACAGTCTTCCTTATTCACAGCCCAAATTTCATATGTATATGAGGCTACTGAAAATACCTTGGATCAGACGTCCCTTAGTCCTCAAACTGACATCTTTGCTCTTGAACACTTTAAAGAGGTCTTGTGCAGCAAATTTGCATAAAGCAATACGTCATTTGAGTTCTTGGTTGTTGCTTCCATGATTTTTGACAGTGGAGATCTAAGCAAAATGAAGTCTTTGACAACTTTAATCTTTTTATCCATTTATAATATGAAGTTATCTACTGGTCCAGAGGGATTTTTGTTTTCTTTACATTAAGGTACAATGCATACTTGAAGGCTGCAGTCTTTGATATTCATCAGTAAGTCCTCTTCACTTTCAGCAAGCAAGGTTGCATCATTTGCATATTGCAGGTTGTTAAAGAGTCTTCTTCCAATCCTTATACCACGATCTTCTTCATATACTCCATCTTCTCAGATTATTTTCTCAGCATACAGATTAATTATAGAAAAAGAATACAACCCTAGTGCACACCTTTGCTAATTTTAAACCATTCAGTTTCCACTTGTTCAATTTGAACATCTGCTCCTCATGAACACAATTCAATGCCGTGGAATAGACCCATTCTCCACAATGCTGTCCATAGCGCGTCATGTTCCGCATAGTCGAAAGCCTGTGCATAATCAATAAAGGCCAGGTAGACATCTTTCTGGTATTCTCTGCTTTCAGCCAAGATCCATCTGATATCCCTCATTCCACGTCCTCATCTGAATCCGGATGTAACCTCTGCAAGTTCCCTGTCAATGTATTGCTGCAAACCATTTTTAAATTATCTTTAATACAATTTTACTTGCATGTGATATTAATAATATTGTCTGATGATTCCGTATTCCACTGGGTCACCTGTCTTTGGAATGGGCACAAATATGCATTTCTTCCAGTCAGTTGGCCAAGTAGCTGTCTTCCAAAGTTCTTGGCATAGATGAGTAAGTGCCTCCAGTGCTGCATCAGTTTGTTGAAAGATTTCAATTTGTATTCCATCAATTCCCAGAATCTTGTTCTTTGCCAATGTCTTTATTGCACCTTCAACATCTTCCTTCAGTATCACTGGCTCTTGATCATGTGCTACCTCTTGAAATGGTTGAACATTGACCATTTCTTTTTGGTACAGTGACTCTATGCATTTCTTCTATCTTCTTTTAATGCTTCCTGCATCGTTCAATATTTTGGTCTGAGAATCCTTGAAAATTGCAAGTTAAGGCTTGAATTTTTTCTTGATGAGTTCCCTCATCTTGAGAAATGCTGAGTGTGTTCTTCCCTTTAGGTTTTCTAACTCCAATTCTATGCACATTACAATACTCAACTTTGTCTTCTCAAGCTGCCTTTTGGAATTTTCTGTTCAATTCTTTTACCTCTTCATGTCTTCCATTTACTTTGGCATCTCTATGCTGGAGGGCAAGTTTCAGAGTTTCTCTTGACTTTCATTTTAGTTTTTTTTTTCTTTCTTGCCTTCTTAATGACTTTTTACTTCTTTCCTCTATGATATTCTTGATTTCATGCCAGAACTCTTCTGGTCTTTAGTGTCTAATGCATCAAATCTGTTCTTGAGATGATGCCTAAATTCAGGTGGGATAGAGTTAAGGTTATATTTTGGATCTCATGAACTTGTCTTCATTTTCTCCACCTTCATCCTGAATTTGCACATGAGTAATTGACATGAACAACAATGAGCTGCGGTTCCACAGTCCGCCCTGACCTGGTTTTGGCTGATGATATGGAGCTTTTCCACGGTCTCTTTTCAAAGATGTAGTTAATCTTACTTCTCTGTATCTCATCTGATGAGGTCCATGTGTATAATCATCTTTCATATTGTTTAAAAATGTATTTGTAACGAAAAAGTCATTGGTCTTGCAAAATTCCATCATGCAATCTCCAGCATCACTTCCATCACCAAGCCATATTTTCCAACCTCTGATCCTTCCTCTTGTTTCTAACCTTTGCATTCCAATTGCCAGTAATTATCAATACAACTTGATGATGTTTGAATAATTTCAGACTGAAGAAGTTGGTAGAATTCTTTAATTTCGTCATCGTTGGCTTTAGTGTTTGGTTCATATATTTGAATAAATGATATTAACTGGTCTTCCTTGTAGGAATATACATTTTTATCACAGACAGCATTGCACTTCAAGATACATCTTGAAACGTTTTGATGGATGATGGATATGACACTATTTGTCTTTAATCTGTCAATCCCAGCATAGTATATACCATGTGACTGTCAGATTCAAATGGCCAATACCAGTCCATTTCAGCTCACTAATGCCTAGGCTTATCGATGTTTATGCATTCCATTTCAGTTTTGACAACTTCCAATATTCCTAGATTCATATTCCATGTTCCAATTATTAAGGGATACTTACAGCAGTTTCTCCTCATTTTAAGTTGTGACCCATCAGCAAATGAAGGTCCCTTAGGTTTTACTCCATTCACGTCATCATGGTCAACTCTGCTTTGAAGAGGTAGCTCTTCTCCAGTCATATTCTGAGTGCCTTCCAACCCGAGGAGCTCATCTTCCAGCACTATGCCTGACAATATTCTGGTACGCTTCATCATGTCTAAATATTCAATATTCGGGTGCTAAGTGACAGTGTTCCACTGCTATTCATAAGTTTTCAGGTGGCGTCCTGAATTTAGACTTCTATTCTCCTAAATGGTGAGAAAACACACATCTGTTTTTTGAAGCCACCCACCTATGTTTTTTCTGTTAGAGCAGCACCAGACAAGCAAGACGAGTGTTGTAGTTCCTGGATGGCTCAAATAGTTAAGCAGCCGTCTGCTAACCAGAAAGCAGTTCAAATACACACAGAGACACCTTATAAGAAAGGTCTGACTACATGCTTCCCAAACATTCACAGCCATCCTCTATGGAGCAGAGTCTACTCTGCATATGTGGGGCTAACCAGGAGTCACAGCAACTGCCTTGGTTTTGGGCTTTAAGATATCTGAAGCTTCCAAACAATAGACTGTGGAAAACACCAACTCAAGAGTCAGCAACTCTTCTTGTGGAGGACGGCCCACTGGGATCCATTTCCTGCTGCCCCAGTATCTTCTCACCCACACGATGAGGAACACTATAGTAACCCAGAGTGGAAAGGGCAAGTAGCTGCCCTCAACAGTCCAAATGGCTGATCCTCATCATACTTTCTTATTAGTTCTCAACTCAACACACTGCTTCCTCTGAGTCCTGCAGATAGTTCTGCACAGAAGAAATGTTTCTCAAATTCAGAAACTCCCTAGTATCAATTACACAATGATTCAGAATCCATCCTAATAACCTACCTCATCCCTGTGCTTCTGACAGAAGACCAAAAACTGGGACACGGCATCGCCCTTCCTGCTCCGTGGCATGCAGGCCGTGGCCTTCTTTCTCCCGGGGGGAGACCCTACTCCTCTTTTGGGGTCTGCCTCTGCCATCTTTTGAGGAGTAGTGTTAACTGTCCCACAATAGCTTTCCTGGCTGTCAGCAGAGCTTAGCAGTTTGGCTCTCCGCCGCCTCTTGACTGGAACGCCCTCCTCTTTCAAACACTCTAGGTGGTCAGCAGCTTCTTCACTGGCTCCTGAGAACTCGATTGCTTCTCCCAGGGCCTCCACAGCAACACCAGCCTCCCGAGCTACGCAAGGGTTAAGGTGAAGCTGGTCTCCCACATAGAGGAAGGTGAATTTGGCTTTCCGTTCATCTACTGACATGCCTGCAGCTTCTTTTGCTTGAACAATACCCATTTCCCATTGGGCCCGTAGTTTCCCTGAAATAGGCTTTAAGAGCTGAAAAGAAAAACATAAAGACATTAGAAATGTGGTCACACAACTAGAAAAGTTAACTAACTTTAAAGAAGGACATTTGTAGAATTTCAGGTAGGTTTAGAAATAAAAAACTGTAACAATTTACTCAAAAGGATCTAGACAGAATTCAGCCATTAGTTCTTTAAACTAGAAATCAATTCCAATTATACTAACAAATACACATACACACACACACAGAAAAGGAAAATAAACATTATAAAACCAATTATCTCTGGAAATCATCAAATGAGTAAGAGAGAATTATTGAGTCTCTTAGGAAACCTGTCATCTGTAACATAGCTCACTTGGGCAAAAGCAAACAATCACAAACAGAAATAGAAAGCCATTATAATATTTCAAGCAACTCTAAATTCAAAACATAATTATAAGTAAGTGATAAAACAAGTTTTCTGTCTACAAATTTTCCTTAATCTAAGGAATAGTCATCACCTTTATCTTCTCAGCTTTCGTTGGGGCCTGTTTGGCACTCTCCTGGCATAATTTTTCAAACTGTCCTTCTCCTTCAAAAGCTACCAGGCTCTTCTCAAATATCCAAGCTCTTTCTGGGGCATCCCCGAAGAACTGTACATGATACTGGCGTGCACTCTTTTTCTGACCTAGTTTTCAAAATAAAATGTTAGAACCCGTAAGTTCAAATCTGGGAAGAAATGAGGCAAAGCTATTCATGATTACTGAAATTAAGTCGGGAGCTGCTTTGAAGTTGATTAACTTGGTACTGCTTCAGTCTGGTAATCTTGAAACCAATCCTCCCCTTCTTATCCCTATATGCTCCATGCCAAAGATGGGAAACTCAGTGGACTCACAAGAAACTTTGGGACGGCTCAACACTGACAGGAGAAGACAGTGGATTCAACACAGCCCTCTAGGCACCTCTCCCTCCCGAGAGGGTCTTAAATAGACACCAATGAATCAAATGCCAGAGGACTTCAGCAAAAGAGACATTTCAACAGAAAGAGCTTCCAGGCATTGGGGGTGTGGTCCAGGAGTCAGCAGCCCTGGTTCCTGCCTCAGGCCCACCAGTGCCCAGCATTCACAGTGCTCAGTGTGACAGAGAATATGCAAGGACCACCCAGATGTCCACTGCTTTAACTGTTCAGCAAAGAGGAAGCAGCCACACAGACAATAGTGTGGCCAGTGAGGAACCTGAGAAGGGACACTCTCTCATCCTAAACCCTAGAAGGGGCTGACAGATTCCACTGAGGTTGTGTGGAGGTTGAAACCAGGGAAACCAATTGAAAAGTCCATACCAAGTGGGAAAAGGAAGAGGAAAGCGGAAGCCCGCCAGCAGAAAGTGAGCCACAGGAAACCAAAGGAAAAGCCTTCCTACTAAGATTTTTGGAGGTTCCAAACCAAGTGGCCAACTGTCAAGCGGACCCTCTAAAGTGAAGTCAGCCAGGTAACAAGGTCACAGGGGCTCAGGCAGCCAGGGGAACGTCCAGCATAAACTAGTGTTCCAAATCTAGAAAGGAACCACTGCCCTAGTGCCTCAGACACACAGTGTGGGAAACCCTAGCTTGTCCACGACCCTGAGATCTGAAGAACTAGGTGTTGTCCAACTACCACAACTAACTGCTTTGGAGGGGTCACATTAGAAGGTCCAGGAGAGAGAAGGAGAAAAATGTACACCAGGCTTACTGGTCAGACAGAGATTGGTAGAACCCAAAGACTATGACCCATGATCACCCTTCAGGTCTGGAACTGAACTCACCCTCATGGTTTAATTTTCAGCCAAATAATACGACTATAAAGGGACCAACACGAGAAGGCACATAGATCTTCGAAGCACCAACCATTTCCGATCCAGAGCAGCACTACCCCAAGGACCAAGTTCAGAAAACAAAGCAAGAGACAACACAGCAGGGAAGGGAAACAAGTGATATTATGTTGTGGGGATTACAACCAATGATATGAAACAAAATGTTAGGAAACGTAACCCACCACCCAATTCACACAGAAAAAGTTAAAAACTCTAGTTTACTACAAAACAAAAACAAGAGTTATTAGACAGTTTAAAGTATAATCATGAACATAAAATTCAACAGAGTATCTTGGAAGTTGCTGCTGTTAAGTTCTGTCAAATTGGTTACAACTCATAGTGACCCTGTATAGAGTTTCCAAGGAGCAGCAGGTGACCTTGTGCCACCAACCTCATGGTTCAAAACAACATGGCAGTCCAACGCATTAACCCACCACACCACAAATCCCCCAGAAAGAAGAAAAAGATTAGGATGAGAAACGGTTTTCTCCCATGAGAAATCTCTGACACCTGTGAACTGCTAGCTAAGCTCAGGCCTCTGTACAGAGGACTGGACCAGCTAAGCTGGCAGCACGAGACCAGGCCACACGAATGACTCCAACACTCCCTCCCTCTCTACCGCTCACCCAGCACCTGCACCTCATCATGAAATTTAAGCTCTTGGTGGCAAGAGACAGAGTCCACCAAAGTTGAGTGTGAGGGAGGATAGCATCCATTCTCATGAACTTGAGGCAGAATGGCCAAGAACTTAAAGAGCAATTGTGGGTGCTAGACGGACGGCAACACAGGGATACCTTCAAAAATCAAGAGAATTATTTTCACCATAAAATTCTACACTCAAGGGATCATTCCCACCCTCTCCATACACAGAGTAGACAGGGATGGGCAACTTGGACATTGGCTATCCAAAATGAGGGGACTACAAAGGCAAGAAGTGACTGGCTTACAAGCTTTCAAGAGGGAACCTAGATCCAGAGGGCATGGAGGAAGGCAGAATCTCCACTGAGAAGCATCCAATCCCAATCTGTCTAGGCGGGACTGATTGAAGGAAATGTGGCTAGGTCTCTTGTGATACAATTGTTACCAGGACTGATTGTGATGGTTGTAAATGCAAAAGTAGACATTTTGTGGCAAGGAGGGGAGTGATTAACTTTGCAGGCTAGGAGCGAAGGTCCCTGGAACCATGAAGAGAGAAGAGTGGAGAGCAGAACCCTACTCAGAGAGGCAGCGATCCCTGAGATGGAGGCAGAGATGATGACGTGGAGAGATGGAGCAGCTGGAGACTCAAGACCCAGGGAGGACGACGGGCTGTGTGCTGACGGCTGGGGGGGGGCCGGTGCGGGAAGCAGGCTTATAGGATGTACCCTTTCATTGACTGGTGATGCGTGGAGGGCATTGTAACCATGGCAATGAAACAATATACAACAGGATGAATGTAAAACTGATGTTCTCCCATGAAAATTGTCACATAATTCACAATAAAAACTTAAAAAAAAAAAAAAATTCTACACTCAGCCAAATCAAATGTGAAGGTAGAGAAGTAACAACCTCTGAACTGCAGGCTCAAAGTTACCTACTAACCTACTATGATTTTCTTAGAATACCAAAGATGAGCTCTAATAAAAAGAAATGTTCACCAAGGAAAAGCATGACATGGAATCACAGAACACACATCTTAAAGAGATTCCAAGATTACTGTTGTGCAAAAGGTTAAGAAGGGCAGAAATCTACACTGAGGTGGGGAAAAGGAAAGCTCTGGGGGTTCTTGGAATAGAATCCTGGTAGCACAGTGGATTACAAACTGGGCTAATAAACACAAGGTCAGTAGTTACAATCTGCCAGGTTCTCTTCGGGAGAAAGATGAGGCTTTCTGCTTCCATTCACAGCCTCGGAAACTCTGTACAGAGTAGTTATGGATTGGAACAGACTTGATGGCATACCACCACCAGGGTTGCTTTGAGTCAGAGCTGACTTGATAGCACTTAACAACAACAGGAGAGAAAAGATGAGAAAGAAGAACTCTCTTCTACACAGAAAGAAAATGTGGACGCTAAGGAAGGAGGGCTAAAAGATGTGACCCAAAGAGCAAAAAAGAGTCAGAATCAAACACCAGGTTTTTATTTGGTTTCCCAAATAGGAGACATTAATTAATAAGGATGAGTTCTGAGATGGAGCACTTGAGAAATAGTAAGGATAGCAAATAGCAAATCTGGTCATTAAAAAATAGAAAATTAGGTCATTAAAAAATAGAAAATCAGGTCATTAAAAAATAGAAAAGCAACAATTCACTCCAGGAAAAATAACAAACTATATAAGATTTAAAATTTTAAAAATGCAACCACAGAACATTTTGTAAACATTTATATCTGAAGTAGAAGAAACAGTAACTTTAAGTATCTGGGGAGAGCAGAGGATGAAGAGAAATAGAAAATAGTTCAAAAAATCACTCACTTTCCATAAGTAAACAGCGTGCTTCAATGATAAATCAAAAACTAGCAGGTAACCCAACTGTGAATGCGGTGGAGCATACAGTGCGGAAAATGAGTTTTAAAAACTAATTAAGGAAAAAATAAAAAAAAAAAGCTTCTTAGGTATTATCAAACATCTTAAGGCAATGAGCTGCTGAACCTGGGGGCTCAGGACCATAGTTTCAGGGGACACATGGTCAATTGGCATACCAGTCCACAAAGACAGTGTTCTACATTCTACTTTAATAAGTAGCATCTGGGCTCTTAAAAGCTCATGGGCCATTATTTAAGGTGAAACTATTGGTCTCTCCATGTGTGGAAAAAAGAAGAGTGATGGGAACTGAAGATGCCTGGAATCAATCAGTCCAGTGAACTAATGGACCATGTGAACATCAGTCTGCACAACTCTGAGACAGAAGAACTAGATGGTGCCCAACTACCATTAACAACTGATCTGAAAGGGATCCTATTAAAAGGTTCTGGATAGAGCGGGGGGAAATGGGGAACAAAAGTCAAAATTATAAAAAGACTGTGCTTACTGGTCAGAAAGAGACGAGGAAGCTCAGACTATGGCCCTTGACCACCCTTTAAAGTCTGGAAAGAAAATTACCCTCATGGCCCAATTTTCAGCCAAGCAGCAGATAGGTATATAGAGGAGATAACAACACTAGTAAGGTACGCTCACCATGGAATGATCAATTATTCAAAATCAAAAGAACAACATTTCCCTAAGAATAAAGTCGAGTAGGGATAGGAAGGTGGGCAAAATGAAAAAAAGGAATCACAGGGAGGAAGTTCAACTATTGTTGAAAGGACAAGACTGCAATCATTGAGATGAAACAAAGTGTATTATTTGTTAACTACAAAACTGATGATCCTGTCTATATACCTTCTACTCAGTTCACAATAAAAAGTTAAAAAAAAAAAACAGGAAGTTATGTATTAACATAGCCGACAAAGACAACATTCATTCTATATCCTACTTTGGTGAGCAGTCATCTAAGGTGCACTGTTTGTCTCTCCCAGTCCAGAGGAAAGGAGAGAGATAAAGGTTGAGAATGCTTGGAAACAATTAGCCCAATGAGCTAATGGATCACGTGAACATCAGGCTCCACAACCCCGAGACAGAAGAACTAGATGGTGCCCAGCTATTATTGCCAACTGGGTCAGCAAGGAATCATATTAAAAGGTCCTACCTACACCTATGAATGCAGTAGCTCAAAAAAGGAAACAAACTCCTGCTGCAAGAACTATTCTCACCCCCTCCACACAAAGG